TCGCAATTTCGCAAAAATGTAGCGGCGAAGAATGCCGCGATGTGCCCGCGAGGATCCACTTAATTCGCGATATTACGCAAGCTAATTTATATGCAGATCGAGCGGACGATGACGACAACCATGGACGGCCGATGATCGTTCAAATTGTCAAACAGGACACCGTCGGATATACCGAGGACGATCTGCGATCTCGCTTGATGCGTTTTACTTGTTCTTTTCACGATGATGAACAAATTTACGAAGAGTCTCTCTCTCTCTCTCTCTCTCTCTCTCTCTCTCTCTCTCTCTCTCGTGCGCGCGCTCAGCAAATATCGACGGGGCTGCAAGAAGACTGTCAAGAACCGTTAAGACGATAATTGATCGATATCGCGTGGCCGAGAGTATTCCCGCAACGAAAGACGTCGCTCTCGCGAAATGCAACCGGCGGCGAAAGAAGGAACGAGAGAACGAAGGCACGAGAGCGAGCGAGCATCCGTCGCTGGATTTGTCGAGCGGACAGCACTTTCGGAGACCGCGGCGGCGCGTATTTCGGAGACCGGCGGGACACAATCGATGTCTCGAATCGAGGGCAGCAGCCGTGCGCGCGGCTCGTTTAGAGAAAGGAAAGTAAGACGTGGACGGGAGCTACGCCGCCGCCTCCTCCTCCTCCTCCTCCTCCTCCACTTCTCCTCCTCCTCCTCCTCCTTCTCTTCCTCCTTCATCGTCGTCCGCCGCTAACTCCTCGTGCTTCTCGCTCACCTGGCGAGGTAATGTAAGGTAAGATAACTTTCCTCCACTTCTCGTATACTCTCGTCTCCCTTCCCTCTCCCCCCGCTCCGCCGCCCCTCCCAGTGCACGTTTCCTTTCCACGAGTCAGCACCGGCACGCTTTTAGGGAGCTTTCCACCACCAGGCGGGTGCACACACTCCGCGCCTCGATAAAGAACTATACAGCCACGAAGGTAGGACAGCGTCGCGGGTACCGCGGTTAAGGTAGTCGATCAGCGAGTAGTCGCTGAGAACAACCACCCGAGAGACCGGTGGATCAGTGGTGGCCGAGAGCTGCGGGCTCCTTAGACGACCCTCTTGGACGAGCGAAGAGATCATCGTCATTGCTCGAGAAAGAGGGAATCGCCAGCACGTCTGAGCTGGTGGCCACCTTAGAGCAGTCTCCCTGAAAACACGGGAGACGTTGACCAACACTTTGGGTCGGGAACACCGTTCCAGTTCGATCGCCGGTTCGTTCGTCACGTATCGCATGTGTTGAAAGAGTGCTCGCCGAGAAAGAGAGAGAAAGAAAGAGAGAGAGAAAGAAAAAAGAAAGAGAGTCGAATTGGCGGTTTTGCCAACCCTGACTCGTGCTCGTCGCCACTCCTCGTCCCAAGCGACCGTGAGTCGTCGTGCAAAGTCCCAGCGACGGTGGAGCGCGTGGTAGAAGAATGCGTGACAGGTGAGTACGATGCAACGGAACCGTGGCCGGAATTTCACGCGATCGACGTGTCACGCGTCAAGGTATTGTTCTAAGGGGATGTTAAACAGCACACATTTCCAAAAGACATCTTAAGAAGATCCTGGATACCGATATAATGCAGCTTCGCATCCGGCAGGATTTTTCTGCAATTTAGTTGTATAGAATCGGAAAAGTATTTATACAGAGTAAAAGTATAAAAATAAATATAAAGTATAAAAATAAAATATAAATGTCAGTTAATGGCGGAGTATCCCGTGTCATATATCAAACACAAAACGAGTCTTATAAGTAAACATTTTTTTTAATTCTTTTTAATTCTTTATCTGTTTTTCTATTTGATTATATAGAATAGCAAATACTTATATTATACTTATATAGAATGGCAAATACTTATATAGAATATAATACAAATGTCTATGATTGTGGCGAAATATCCTATGTTAAATGAAGCATTTAAAAAAAATTGCCTATGTAGTCAGGTGTTACGTGGGTCGTCCAAAAAGTACATAGCCTAATGCAGAAATAGCGGGAGTTTGACCATTTTATTACCGTATTTCAGAACTATTCTTTACTAGATTAAGTATGACAGTATAGAGTGATCTATCGATTAGTCTTTGGTTGATAATGCGTCAAAAGGAACTCTGCGAGCGATGGATTTGGTTACGCCAACCTAGACTGAATTAAACCGTTCATTGTTTCTCGCACCTTTTGGCATGATTTGGTCACAACCTGAAGGACTTTTAGCATCGATTTATCAATCAAACCTAGGTCTATCATTTTACTTCGAAAATTAGGGAACAATCAAAATGAACATACAGAAAGACGTAAGGCACTTACACATTTAGGCATACTGTCAAACAAAGACTAATTGACAAATCACTCTATACTGTCATACTTAATTTAATATAATATAATAAAGAATGATTTTGAAATATGGTAATAAAGATTTGACCAAATTCGCACTATCTCTCTAACAAGCCACGTGTTTTTTGAACAATCCATGTATGATCCATATTTAGAGTGAAAGTATCAATATTTAGAGTGAAAATATCAATAAATAGCGCAGTATCCCATGTTATGTTGTAAGTAAAAGAAAATTATAAATAAAAATGTTTTAAAATTTATATACAAATTTATTTTGTGTTTGTGATATAGCATGAGATACTTTGACTCTTATACTTTCACTTTATATAAGCATTTACAATTTCATACAAACAAATAGAAGAACAATGCAAAATACGACAGCTGCATTATGTTGTTATTCTCTTTGAAGGCATCTTAAAGTTGTCTAAAAAATATAGAATGTTTTTTAAATCTTTTTAAGACATCCTTTAAAAATTTGTGCTGTCTAGAGTACGTGACGTCACTGTAGGATTATACAAAGACAGTATTCATAGTTTGATATTTAAAATCGTCTAAACCCTGACAGTAACATACATCAAGTGTCTTTCGGACGTAACGAGGTAAATTTCATATTAATTTATTTTCAAGAATTCAAAATTATGCATAAAACCTGCATTAATAAAGAAACCGAAAAAGAGCAATGATTACAACTTACGATAAATGATTTCATGAATTTCATGAATTTTAAATCAATTTTTTGATAATGCACATTTAATATAAAATATAAAATATAATAAATAATATATAATATAAAATATAAGCGTATTACAGCCAAGATTAAGTTAATCTCAAGAAATGTAGTTCATCAAAGTTAAAGAGAAAAATTCTGTGTCAAATAGTCAATAAAATAGACTTTACAATATCTTAAGATAAAGTTAAGACAATTCCCAGACAAGCACAATCTTTCAAAGACGTCCCAAAGACATCTTGAAGACTTCTGAATATCCGCATAAATCCTCAGGATATCTCTTGAAGATCCTCTACTATCTGGGTTTTAATCTTTTGAGTTCCGGAGTATTCTTAAAAATACGATATGTAATAGTCTAAAAATAAAAATATTTTGATTAATTTATTTAGATTATATCTAGGTCGTTTTGCAGCTTTGGTTAAAATTATAGTTATCTTATCGTGAAGAAAAAAGCGACTGAATTTCCATCGATATTCTAACATTTCATGATAAAAATTTTCTTTTTGCTAAAATTATTTTTTAAATCTTACTTTTGAAACACTATTTAATTACTTTTCAAATGACTATCGTTATTTAATCATCAATTTTCAAATCAAACTTTCGAAACACTAATTACACACTTATCAGATATTCTTCTATTAAAATTAAACTGAATTCCTAAAATGGAAAAGGTTCAAATACAAGATAGGACTATGAATGTCGGAAGAAATCGGATGCTATGCTTGTGAATCGATGTGGAAAGAAGAAAGAGAAAAATAGAGAGGAAAATGTGCTTGCACCACATTCGAAAGAAACGCGGCTCGCACGCGGATCCTTCATCCGAGTTAGATCGTACGTCTTATGGCCGACAACGCGGAAGGCAAAACGCGGTGCTCGCATAAACTAATACATCACCATCATCGTTCCCTATCGGGATTTTCTAATCTGCCGAGCGTCTTCCTGAACGTGAGAAAGAGGAGCCTGTAGCTTCCCGAAGTGAACGGATACCTCGAAAATATGATCGCGGGTAATTATGAGAACTGGGTCGGGGCAATGGGGCGATGTCTCGCAGGAAACGCACGCGACTGTTTTCGCGTCTATCATCGGAGGCGCGATCGGGTGCGGAATACTACGAGAGGTGAAAGGAGAATCTGTGCAGCGCGCGCGCCGAGAAAGCAACCCGTACTTAATTTTAATCGATGTGACGGACTTTTTCGTCTGTCGCGCGATTTTACGGCTAGAAACATATTTCGCCACGTTAGACAATGCGCGCGCGAGTAAAGGCCATCACACACAAAATTCCGTAAGAACTTAAATCGTAAGCGTAAGGAAATCGACCAATCCCAATCGAGTATTCGGCTCTTCGTAATAATGGAGGGGTTACGAAGAGCTGAGTGCTCGATTGGGATTGGTCGATTTCTTTACGCTTACGTTTTAAGTTCTTACGGAATTTTGTGTGTGATGGCCTTAACAACTATTTCAATATGGTTTAAACTCAGACTTAAGTTTGAACTTTATTCTACACCCCAAAAAAAATGTTCTATTCATAAGCGGGGAATTCCTCTAAGCGTCTACTTTAAGTAAAAAATCTTATATAATGTGTACTCCTCTTTAACACATCATTATTCATCTATAAAAGAGAGGACGCGTAAACTATAATCAAGAGTACATTCCTCAATAAGAAATTGTGCAATAGAAATCTGAATATCCTCTTAAAAGAAGAGAATATGCAAAATATTAGCGGCACGCATTTATTGAAAGGAGATACGATACTGTTTGGAGATTTTGCTTTTGTTTGCTCGTTTACTGTTTCCTGTGTCCGTGACACGAACGAGGTAGTAACGCAGCGAATCGTAAAAAAGAAGTTGAGAAGCTTTTTTGTAGTTATTGCACGATTTTGAGAAAATTATACACAGAATGTAGAATGCAGTGAATTCACCATTATGTATTGGGAGTACAAATTAGTTCGGGCCGTTTTTTTTGTGGTCAAAAATGCATTTATTTCAGAACAAAATGAATGAACAGATTAATCAAAGTATTGTCCATCGCTGGCTACTACTTTTTCCCACCTCTCAGGCAATTTTCGAATTCCATCTCGGAAAAATGTCTCGTCTTTTGAGGCGATCCAAGTTAGGAGCCAATTTTCGATTTCTGCGAAATAAGTGAACCGGTGACCTGCCAAATCGTGCTGCATCCGTCGGAACAACCAGTAATCAGAAGGAGCAATGTCCGGCGAATACGGCGGGTGCGGTAAAATATCCCACTTGAGCGTTTCCAAATAATTTTTTACGACTTTTGCGAGCGTTATCGTGCAGAAGAATAACTTTGTCATGTCTTTGCTCGTATTCCGGCCGTTTTTCTCGTAATGCACGGCTCAAACGAATCAATTGT